AATTTCTCTTATTGCTGATGGTCCTTTTAATTTACCTCTATTACTTATAAATTTATTATAATCTATTGTCATTATGTTTCAAAGAGAATGAGAACAAGAATTAGAATGACGATAAAAAAATTAAAACTAAAAATCAAGATTTTTTATTCAATTTTAATAATAATTGGTTATAAAATATTAAATGAAATCCATCTTCAACTGGTGCTTGGGGTAAAATATCGATTAATCTGAAGAATTTTGTAAATGGCTCTACATTGTTTATTAAAGAGAAGTTCAAACAAGGCTAATCTATATCAATGCAGATAGAGATAAAAAAAAAAGAGATGGAGACGAACGAAATCAATTATTTAAAAACACTATCACCAACATCTACAATCTCTTCGATCACAAACAAAACATCAGTACAGGAGAGGGAGGAGAATTTAGAAGTTTATCAGATGATATTAGACGAAAACGAGAAGAGGGAGAAAGAGACAGAAATTATTGGCAACAAAGAAGAAGAGCTTAGGAGAAGAAGAGAGGGAGCTCAAAGGAGTGAACAGGATATTAAAAGAGAGGAGGATGAAATTAGAAGAATGGAAGAAGACATTCGAAGAGAAGAAGGAGACATTAGAAAACTGGAAGAAGACATTCAAAGAGAAGAAGGAGATATTAGAAGATGACCATAGAGATCCGAAAAAAGGGATTTAGTTCTCCAGATAGAACATACAACGTAACAAATAAGAGTTTATATTTATAATTAAACTTAACAATAGAGAAAGAAGCCAAGATATTAGAAGAGAAGAGCAAGAGTTCGAAAGAAAGAAAATAGAATTATAGAGGATATCTTTAGAAAAAAACAATCTGATAATCCAAAATTTAAACAATTATCAAAAAGAAACAGAGACACATTCAAAAAGGAATCAGGAAATATCCAATCAACTGGAGAAAAAGTTACAAAAAGAATTAAAACCTACAGGACCAAAATATTGAACCACATGAAGAAATGTTACGAGCATTTAGATTTATTACAACAGAATTGTCAATCTACATCAGAGGATTTGGTGAAGAAGTTAAACGAGTTGAAGAACTCTACACAATCTGCAAGCCAAAATGGAAAGATGGTATTATCTAATCTCCTGCATCTCATTAATAGCTTTCCAAAAAATAGTCCACACAGAAGACAGATTTTGTGAAAAAAGAAATCATTAGAGGTAGAAGGTACAGTTAATGGTAGATTTGACATACTTCTTTTATCCGATGAAAAAAAGACAATGTATGAAGAAGTTTACAGGCACACAATGGCTTTTCCCAAACAAAGACAAGCATACAAAATTCAAAAGGACTCTGTTCTCAGTAACATTGAAGGAGATGAGGGTATGATCGTATTAGCAATAGATGGTGCCCATTGTGTGAAAAAAAGAAATCATTAGAGAAAGAAGCTACAGTTAATGGAGTATTTGATATAGAACTTTTATCAGAAGATAAAAGACTCTTGTACGAAGATGTTAGCAGACACGCAAGGGCTTTTCCCAAACAGAGACAAGCATACAAACTGCAAAAAGATTCTATTCTCAGTAACATTGATGGCGAAGAATGATAGTATTAGACTTTTCACAACTCCAGGTACAACAAACCTTTAGACAAGATCTGATCATCTGTATTTACCGAAACTATGGAACGGTTGATAACCAAATGCAGATTCTAAAAACATACCACTATGTTGCTCCTCCAAATGTATCAGCAGATATAAAGTTTGTCATTGGTTCACTATCTCATCTATTAACTCACTATAATGTACTTAATGAAATTAAAAAGGTTTATATATGGACAGATGGTTGTGCAAGACAATTTAAGCTTACAACAAACTTGGCAATGTGGGCCTATCTTCGTAGAATGGTTAACCCAGCCATTGAAATTATTTATAATTTCTTTGGATCATATCATGGATTTAATATTTGTGATGCATCTGCTGCCAATGCAAAGAGGAAATTAAATCAAGAGCAGAGAAACTCTGGTGTAGCTTTCAGAACGAACACACAAATTATTGATTGTTTAAAAACTATGGTTAATACTGATGCCACCCATAGTTTAATCACATCCACTAAACCAGAAATGTGTCATAAACTAGTCGGAATCAAGTCTTATCATATGTTTAAAATATTGGATACATCAATGAAGGTTTATAGTCACTCTCAACAAGGATTTCCAGAGTTTGAATTTGTATTCAACACAAGAGATCTTAGATCCATTGAAGATAGTATTCTCACCAATCCTACCCTAAAACCTATATTTGAACCAATAATTTCAGAAAGAAATCAAGTGCGTGACCTTGGTGCGTTTTCACTTGCTCAACATGCCCAAATAGAATAATCATTGAATAGAGTAATTGATCTTGGTAGTGGTGAACAAGGATTTTCTTCTGTTGATATTCTTGCCCAAGTGGGAGCATCTGTAGTACATAGTTTAAATAATTAAATCCTGAATAAAAAAATTGAATAATATTGTCGCAGGTTTTTCAAACTCAACATTATGTTATATAAACCTTCTATATATCTGTTTTTACTATCTGCATCTCAAAATATTGAATGTTATTTTTTTTATCTTTAAACATTAAAGTTGTAATGTTTTCTCATATTAATTATTTTGAATTTTTTTTATAAAAAAGGAGTCTCACCTTCTCGAAAAGAGTCTCATGTAATAAAAAAATTAAATCGTTAAAAATAAATTTCTATTAATTTAATTTTTTATTATTTTTAACTACATATTAAACTAATAGTATGGGAAGAAAGAATAGAAAGAATAGAACAAAAAAACAAAAACAACAACAACAACAAGAACAACAACAACAACAAGAACTAGAACAACAACAACAGCCTCAAAAACCACCACCTACAGGACAACTTATAGGACAACAACCTACAGCACAACAGCCTCAACAACCACCTACAGGACAACTTATAGGACATCAAATTGATTTACCGGGTGTATTATTATTAAATAGAATAGATCTATTGACAAAAGAAAGAGATAGTTTGATAAAAGAAAGAGATAGTTTGGTAAAAAAAAGAGATGATTACAAAAACAAGTATTCATGAGCTTGAGATTTATAAAAAAGAGATATCACAGTTAAAGTCCCAAATTGATCTAATGTCTAAAGAAATATCAGATCTTAAAAATGAAAACAAGTCTATCATGTATGAAAACAAGTGTAGACAGGATCTAATGTCTAAAGAAATATCTGATCTTAAAAATGAAAACAAGTGTAGACAGGATCTAATGTCTAAAGAAATATCAGATCTTTTAAGTTCAGATATTTCTTTAGACGTTAGATCCTGTCTACACTTGTTTTCATACATGATAGATTTGTGAAATCAAGTTTAGTAAAGAAAAACTTATCCTTGGAGAGCTAGCCCGTCAGTTTGAAAAAGCAACATGCAGGGCGCTTTTGGGACCTAACACAAGAGTGTACTCATTGTCTCAAATAGAACAACATCTCACTCAAGAATCGTCAACAAAGTGGGCTATGATAAAAGCCAATATTAATTGGGTTGACTCAGCACAGTGGACTGTAGGAGAACTAAAGGAAATACGATTAAATGAAAGCTATCCTCTGGTTACACCTGATGGACTTCCTGTAACCAGGCAATACATCAACACAATTGCCCCCAAACATATTAATCAAAGACACAAAGCTGCAATTCTCAAAGACATAAATATGCTGATAAATTTATTAGAACAATACAATGACCCTAGTCAACTTTATGTAGATTAATAACTCTCATACAATACCCCTATCCAACATCAATTTTACAATAAAAAAGAACAGTCAGACTGTTAAAATTTTTATTTCACTTTTCATTGTGCAGGAATATAACGTTTACTTTGATCAAAATTTCTTTTAGCTTCATTCTTGTTGTGAAGATATTGAAATGTGAATAAATTATTGTTGGTATCTTTACTTAGAACATTTGCAGCATAATAGAAACCAATATTCCACAGTACAGATTGGCATTTACCTCACAGGGAATTATTCCATCATTAGATAAAGTCGATGTCAATTCAGTGATATTAATCAGTAACACTAAACCTATAATATATTATGGTTATTATCCCTTTTAGAAGAGATTGGTAGGTGTTTATTAATTAGTAAACAGTCATTTGTCATCCCTAGATGACCATCATCTATACAATTTAAATACTAACATATGATAGACAACAGTATAAGAAACCTTATTATTGATATATTGATATCCACCCACTGTTCCATCCTAAATAGTCATTATCATTAACAATTGACATACACTCTATGATGGAATTAAGAGCAGACAATTTAATTGTTTGACCCTTGGTTTTTTTTTGTTCTTCTTTTCTTTTGTTCAGGTTATATTTATTGGTGCAAGAGTCTTTAAGAACCCTATTCTCTTAAGTTTCCCTCAGTGGAAGTCTTTAATGACTAGATAATGTTCAAGATAGAAACCTTTTGACCTTTGGGTAAAATTTTATCATCTTCAATCATCATCATTTGGTACTGGAATTGATTCACTAGTAGTAGAGTAAATGCAAAAACTCGATTAAATTTCAAATCAAAATATTCAACTTGGTATAAAATTAACAAACTAATTCAAATCCAAATACCCATTTTATGGCTCTATCTAATGTATTTGCTGGTACTTTGATGAGTCTCCACTAGTGCTTTGACATCATACTGAATGTTCTTTCCATTCCGCTCTTTTGGCTATTTCAGCCTGTATATGATGGCTGACCAGTTCAGTTCTATCTCCATATTATCATGATTTTTCTTATTTCTAGAGCCACAAAGTCGCCGATGTAAAGTACTAAGTATTAACAGTTACACTAAAAGGTCTTAAGATGATATTCATCCATTCCTGACTACCTTTTATGTATACTTTTATACTAATCTATATTGTACTCGTGTGTAACTTGGTAAGGAGCATTCTTACATATCTTGATTTTTGGGGTGTGTAAATTTTTGACTAATTTTTTAAAGAATTGGAGCAGTCGATTTGGTAGAGTGGTTAATACGTTTGCCTGCTAAGCAAATTCCTTCGGGAGCGCAGGTTCGAACCCTGCAGTCGACGTTTTTTATATTTTTTGATTTGTAAAAATTTGTGAATAAATAAAAATTTTTTTTTTTGTTTTTTTGATTGAATAATGAGAAAATGGTAAAAATCCAACTACCAACAAACAACAATATATTCTCATCATTAGTTTTAACACATTTTTGTGAAACTCATGGACCATCAGTAGTATTTACAACACAATCAGAGATTATAAATGAATACAATATATATGAACAATTAAATACTGCTATACAAGAAAACAAAGTAAACAAAGAAGACCCATTAAATGAACAAAATACAACAATAAATATTGAGAAAAAGGAAGAAATTTTAACATTACCACAATTATTTTCCAATCAAAATAATAATAATGAATTTTCACAATATAGAGATAATCTTAAACAACAACAAAATAGTAAAATATCAACTAGTTATTCTGTACAATTAATAACAATATCAAATCAACAATCAAATATTAATAATAATATAACACCAAATAAATGTCCAACATGTTCATCATTATTAGGAGGACAAGCATTAGTATCACAAAACCTAAATAATTTACAAGAATTTTATATAAGTACACATCAACCATCTAATCATACCTATTCAATAATTAGAAATGCATGTGTACGTTCACTTAGTTGTGAAGCAGTACCAGGTAGAGAAGGTCCAGTATTTATAAGTAGTAGTGATGGATATTTCCTAAGTTATATGTTTAAAGTAAATGATGCCAGAGCTAGAGGTTCAGCAAGATGGTATGGATTTTTATTAATTCAATCAGAACCATCATGCCTAGTAAATTATTTTAGTTGGATAGTATATTGTCTAAAAACTCTAGCAGAAGAGATAAAATCAAAAACCAACATTTATTTTGAAAAGGAAAAATCACAACAATCACAACAATCATCAGTAATTTCAAATATCTATAGAAGAGGTACTAGATCTGTACCTTTAAAACCATTAACTGAATTAATGGATGATCAAGTATATATTTATTTATAAATTTATTATCTACAATAATATATTTATTTATTTTTTATAGAATTTTTTTTAATAGATTACATAGATCATTTTCAAGTATATTATCGACATGTCAAATGAAATATCATATTTTAAAAGGTAGTAAAACTATAATTAAAGAACAAATTGAAATTATAAAACAATTAAAGGATAAATTTAAAGATACACAATTTAAAAATCAACAACAACAACAACAACAACAACAACAACAACAACAACAAGAGGAACAAAATAATAATATAACAAATAATTTAAATTTAATTAATGGTAAAAATGTTGAAGAATTAATATCAATATTGGATAAAACATTTTTTCCAATGGAAAAAGAATTAATAAGTGGTTATTATCAAATTTATAAGCTGTTGGGTGAAGATAGATTAGGTTGTCTTATAAATCACGTATTAATTGGTAATCAAGTTATTATTAGAGGTTCAAATGAATCGCTAGTCTATTCTATGGTTTGTCTATTAGAATTATTAATACCAAAAGAATGTTGTAATGTAACCTATTATAGTTTAGTATTTAAAGAAATTTGGGAATCAAATATTTTAGGTATACATTCCCAAGTATTAGTACCAAGACATATTGAATCTCAAAATTGTGCAATTATTGATGTTGAATGTAAGTTTTGTATATTAAAAAACATATATAATAATAATATAATTAATAAATATCATTTTAGATTATGATAAGTCAAAAGAACCAGATGACATTGATGATCCAAATAGATCAACTATTGACATGACATATAATCATGATGGTACATTGCCATTCATGACTTCACTATGTCAATCTATTTTATCAATAATCAAACAAAATATACCAAAACATTTAGAAACTATTCAAATTTTAACTTTAAAAGATGAATGGATAAGGTATGTTAATGAGTATTATTGTCTAATATATATAAATATTAATATTAAATTATAGTAAAACTAAATCATTTTACGCTCTAAAAACTATAATTGAAAATGAAAAGGATAAAAAATTACCAACTTTTTTAAACATTATTAATTGTAAATATCCAAAAGACATTGATATTTTAATGTTTTGGACTGTAAGTGTTAGAAAATGGTTTACAAATGAAAAGTTAAATAAATAAAAATCCTATTGTATAAAACCCTTTTTGTATAAATATATATTTTTATTATTTACAATTTAATTTAAAATTTCAATTTGTTCATTTGTATTATTATTACTAAATATTGAATCAATAGGTGTTATTGTTGTAGTATTAATTTTTGAAGTTTCACTATTTGAAATTGGTGATGATGATATTGATGTTATAATTGGTGTTGAAATGGATGATGATAAATTATTATCTTCTTGAGATTTTACATCTTTTGTTGATTTACTTAAAATATTGGTAAAAAATGGAAATCTAAATGATGAAGTGGATTTCTTTTTTAATGGAGATTCACTACCATTTGAATCATTTATATTATTTGTTTGCGAATTATTATTATTGTTTGATTGTAATGGTGGAGGTGTAATTGGTCTAAATATATTATCATTATTTTCATTTGTATTAATACTAGACTGTATAGGAGTATTATTTTTAAAAAAGAAATTTATAGGAGATTGTCTTTTTGAAGAAAGAATTGGTAGTGATGATTGATTTAAAATATTTAATGATTGTAAATTTGGATTAGAATTTGATAAATCTAATGGTTCGAAAAATGAAGATGATGGTGATAGTTTTTTAAATGATAAATTGGGTGAACTTGATGATAATTCCATAGTTTCATTATTTTTTCCTTCAACTACTGGTTTTGGAATCATTGATGAGGATTTGTTTAATATAAATGAATTTTTTGTTGTTGGTAAACTTAATCTAGATTCTTTTGTTATCTTTAATTGTTCTTCATCACATGAAAATTTATCATCCTTTTTTTGTTCATTATTATTATTATTATGATATTGGTGGATTGTAGAAACTAAAACTGGAATTGTATATGGTATAGTATTTTTAATAATTATTGGTAAATAATTCATTAGTGTACTAGATAGTATATTATTTATAGCTCTTGTTGATTGTTCATCTGATAATATTTCATTTACAATGTGAATAGTTTTTGTATTATTTCTATTATAATTTACATAACTATTAATTGGTTCTTGTTGTTCTTGTTGTTCTTGTTCTTGTTGTTGTTTTTGACTTGATATTAAATTAATTAAATTAATTTTAATTTTAATTAATAATGGTGAAATGGAATATGCTTCTTTTAAATCATCAGTAGATGCTAATGTAATCCATTCATTTTCATTATCTAAATATAATATAGAATATATACTATCATTTGATAATTGATATAATGATGTTAAATTATAACATAGACATGAAAAACTACATTCTTTTAATCTAAATCTTCTTTTGTCTTCTCCCAATTCTGATTTTATTAATATATTCATATTTATATAATTATTATAACAAATAAATAAAATTTTATAAAAGTCAATATTTTCTTCTTTCTTATAAAGAATATTTAATGATTACTCAACACACTTTTTGATTTTTTTATTTTCTTTTTTTTTATTAAATTTAATTTTCAAATAATTTTTTAAATCTAATATAATCACAAAATTTGTAAAATCAAAAAAAAAAAAAAAAAAAAAAAATTAATAAAACTTAAAATTTTAAAAATGGTAATTTTATTGGATTAAAATTTTATTAAAAATAGATAAAAAACAATTTAAACGATTTAAAGCTATAATTGGATAATGATTAATAAAAAACTGCAGTTTACAAAATTTTTTATAATTGGAATAAAAACATTTAAAATAGAAAATGTGTGTTGTGTGAGTTTATTTGATAAAATATTATTGATCAATTAAATTATAACCAATAAAAATATAAAAAAAATTTATTATTTAAACCTTTATAAATTCTATAAATTTTATTCATTTATTCTATATTTATATATATTTATTTAAAAAGAAATGAAAACAATAATATTTTTAATATTTTCAATAACATTATTTGTAGTAGTTGTATCAAGTGTTGGTATTCATATTGAACATCCAAATCAAAATCAACAAGATAATTATATTCAAAGGGAGAGAATATTAAAGAATCAATTTGATCAATGGGTAGAGAAACATGCTAAAAAGTATCATACTCATAGAGAATATTTGACAAGATATCAAAATTTCAAGAATAATCTAAAAAAGATTGAACAACAAAATGCTGCTCATCAAGGTAGTGCCAAATTTGGTATGAATAAATTTAGTGATCTCTCTGAAGAGGAATTTACCAAATTCTATTTGATGCCAGAATATAAACCAACACCAAGAAAGTCATTGTATAAAAAGCACTATCCAGTAATGCAAGATGCTCAAAGTTCTGATGAAAATATTCCATTAAATCTCAAAGTGGATTGGAGAACTGAAGGTTTAGTTACACCAGTTAAAGATCAAGGTGCATGTGGTAGTTGTTGGGCATTCTCTGCAACTGAACAAATTGAAACTGCATGGATTAAAGCTGGTAATGATCAAGTTATTCTCAGTGAACAACAAATTGTTGATTGTGATACCAATGATGGTGGTTGTGGTGGTGGTGATCCACATACTGCAATGGATTATGTAATTAAAGCTGGTGGTCTTACCAGTGAATCTCAATATCCATACATTGCCAATGATGGTACCTGTCATACTAATTTTACACCAGTTGCTCACATTTCAGGTTACTATGCTGCCACTACTCCAGGTAATGATACTCAATTAGCTTACAGTGTAATGAATGAAGGTCCTATTAGTATTTGTGTTGATGCCAGTAGTTGGATGACTTATTCCTCAGGTATCATTCGTTCAAATTGTGATTCTGATCTTGATCATTGCGTACAAATTGTTGGTCTAAATGTTGATACCAATGGTACCACCCCAATTCCTTATTATATCATTAGAAATTCTTGGGGTACTGATTGGGGTATTGATGGTTTTATCTATGTTGAAATTGGTCATGATTTATGTGGTGTTACTCAAGAAGCTACAATTGT